GTCTACGCAAAATACTTCGGGTGTGTTGGTCAGACACTACCAACAACAACCTACTGTGGGACACAACGAACCAGATTCCAGCGGAGGAAGAAATTAGGAAGAAGTGCTGGAAGTCGATAGGACACACATTGAGGAAATCACCCAACTGCGTCACAGGACAAGCCCTCACATGGAATCCTCAAGGTCAAAGGAGAAGAGGAATACCAAAAAGGACATGGAGATAAACATAAGAAAAATGAACAAGAATTAGATGGAACTAGAAAAGAAGGCCCAGGACAGAGTGGGTTGGAGAAAGTTGATCGGCAGCATATGCTCCATTGGGAGTAACAGGCGTAATTAAGTAAGTACGTAAGTTGAACAGTCTCATGTTGGCATATGTGCATCATGTGCTGATTGCCTTGATATAGCTTCGAGTCACAAGCTTTTTAAGCACAGATAGATAGTGACTAGCAGTGGAATACAGGATGCACGTTTCGTTCTATTTAGAACTCTTGAGCTGGATGTACTTGCGTGGCAGAGTTGATGCTCACTCTTGGACTCGAACCCAGTATCATTCGCTTCGAATGGAGGTAGCTATCACTACTCAGTAGCTAAGCGAATAACGTGATGGCTTTTGAAGCAAATGGTTCAAGTTTCGAGTCCCGGAGTGAACATGAACTTTGAGGTACAGGTACATCCACCTGACGAGTCCCGAATAGGAGGAAACGCACAGACTAGATTCCACTACTAGCCTCTATCCATATTAACACATAATGTATATTGTTTGTTGATAAGTTTAGTTTTGAAACACATTTTTTAACTATTTATTTTATTCTAATATTCCCTAGAAACAGTCTACATTAAGTTTGCACGTGACATTTTGAAAGTTGATACTCACATGTCGCCTTAAAAATCATAATGTTTTAATATTCTATTTAAATGAAGGATCTACTCAAACATCCTTAAATTGATAATGATATACCAAAGTTGAAGATTTCAATACTGTTTTATGTCATTTTAAACAAACAGATAGACTGTCAATTACAGCTATCGACTTATACAACCAAACTAATAACGTATAAATCTGTACAAACAACCTAAAGTTCTTATTGATCCTCTCCTAATCCAACCAATTCAGTTCAGAACGATAATGTCAGCCTTTGCAATATCAATCATATCATTCAGATATATTAGATTTATATTACAAACAAACCAGATTGCATAATACCATCAATAGAATATATACACCACACAATTCATTTGATTTATATGTAGGCTATGATACTATTCGGTTGCCTAAATTGAATCAAGCGGTTTTCTTAGAAAACCACACTCCTAACCTTCGACCTAAATGTCTAATCCACAAAGCAGTTGGACAACATAGATGATTCAATGCTATGGTAGTTGATAACTAACAATTAGTTATATATAGATCATTTATTCTATCATGATTACAAATGGTATGATAGATTCATTTTGAAAGATTAAATTTTCAATGGTATTATTTAATCAATATTAAATTGTGATATATACCACTTATGAGTATCTAAACTATTTACAATAACTTATATACTACTTATAAGTAAATAAATAAAAATGTAAACACACTTCAATCTAATTAGTTCAGTATAATTGTGTTTGTTTGCTTGTTGTTGTTGTTGATGATGATGCTGATTAGTTTGTTGTTTTGAATAAGTAAGTGTATAACAATTCTAAATAGTATAAACTTCAATCATTTATCCCAGAAGCATAAATATATCACAATAGATTGATAATAAATGTATAGAGATTGTGATTCCCTATCAACTATTGAATGGGATTAATTAAAGGTTTCTGTTAATATGTATTCTGTATGATAGTTGATTGGAACTTGGTGACTTGTTTGAATATTTGCGCTACTGTGGTGTGTACTACTTATATTGATATAAGTAGAATATGACACAAGTTTAAGGCGTAATGTCTGACAGCATAAGATGGAGGATGATCATGAAAGGAAGAGCGGAAACACAATGCAATTTGTACGAAAACGCATGAACAATGAAATGTGAGACAATGGATTGATGTTTGCAACAGGAACAGTCCAGGTTGATATGATGGATTGATAATTTGCAAATTATGAATTGTTATATGGTTTTTCTATTTTACCAGGTAACTCTGTCATTTTGTGTTAAATACATTCGATTGTCCCCACTGGTGTTCCGTTCACTACACTACCTGTTCTTGTCATTTAAGTATTTCAACAAGTGATCTGTTTATTTGTTTGTTTTAATACATTAACATGACTATTAATCATATAACCTAGTTAAGTGAGTTTATGAAAAGTGTACAACCTTTTGTTATACAAGTTTAGAAGAAAAGCTCAGTCAGCGACATCATGATTGCTGGTAAAGTGAAAAGAATGTACATCATTCAGATGTTGATTCCTAAACTGCTAACCTCTAACTGGTGACCAGTTATTATTTATCATCAGGATCGATCAAGAACTAAGAAACGGAAACTTGTTGAAATACTTTGTACTGAGAATTCTATATTGTATCAAGAATATAATGCTGAATAAAACCACTAATAATAATAACAACAATCAACCCTGAACGGTCATAAATTTTTTAAATGTTACACCTAATGACTGAGTCAACGATAAATAAAAAGCCTTACTCATGTTCCTTTAATGGATAATTCCCATCATAAACTGATACAAACTTTATCTATTGAATTACATCAAGGCAATTTTATAAATTTAGATTTGAATCAGTCCAGTATAGGATTCCATCATGTGGTTAGTTTAACACGTGATAGTGTACTGAACATTGTTAAATGAATGCATATAATCGATTAATCCAAGGTGTACAAAATAACTTGAAATTAACTTATCACTGATCAATCCACTTTTGTTGTCTTATGAAGCATTTTAGTGGCCCATGGATCTGAATCCAATTAGATCCTATGAATGTTTGTTATCGCCTATCCTCGTATATAATCATCGAATTAAATCGCGTTAGTCAATTGCGGAATTAAATAAGTCAAATAATGAGAATGGATTTTTGAATACATATATTTCGTATATAAAGCGAATGGAATAGAGAGAAGATGAACGACGCGGAGTGGAGATGGCGGGTAAGCCAACTCCCCTTTAGTCAAGCGTTAATCAATAGTTATAGACACACAAAAGTGATTTACAGACATGTGATGAGTAATGGGATAAGAAATGTACACACATCTATGCGCTCAGATAAAAACAATCAAGATTGATAAGCGAATAATTAACAAGGTCGGAATGCGACTCAAGTAGAATGAATAGAATGGGTTGTCCGAAAGGCTAGAATAAGGTAATATGGGCTTAACATAATAACTGACACTACAGCATAATGAATATGGATGATATTTTAACCAAGTGATGATAGATAGTTTCGTTTTAAACATTGTACAAAATCCTTCATTATGGTAATACTCATTAGTTTTAGTGAGATATTCTACTAACTAAATAGAACACTTCAATAAATCAAAGCTTTATTCTTTTTTTCAAGACAACTCGTCTGAAACTATTTATATTTATCGTTAAAATAGGTACTAACTTCAGACCTGTCAAAAAGACATTTTTCTATTTTGATTTCATATCATTAATACGTGAAAAGATCATGAATTGATCAATTTTACATCACCATTGAAAACCTCGAAGTAATGGACGACCATTTTGTCCTATTATAGGACTCCTCAGCAGTCCGAACCTACAATCCTAGGTTCGAATGCTGCGTGTGGGATCGTGGATGCGCAATGATGAGGAGTCCCATGCTAGGATAAAATGGTCGTCCAGTACTTCAAGGTTTTCAATGTCGGTATAACGTTGATCGATTCATGATTTCAATCGAAACTCAACAATCTCCACAATCTTATACTGATAAAAAGAAGTGTCAATGCATATTCATTCGTCTTCTAGTACTTGTTTTCAGTGAGTATTTAGTCATTCGTTGAAGTAAACAATACCTTATTTACACTGATCTAAGCATGTTTCACCACGTGTAGGAAGCGATTCATAATTAATAATACACGTATTTTTGTTGTATCTCAATGAGTAGAATAATTGTATTTCTGATGTTTTGTGACTTAATGTAATTCACTTCATCAGAGTAAATATACAACCAAAATTTACTCTGAAGAAGCGGCTTATATTAAATTACGAAACGTCAAAAGTACAAACTTTCTACTTATTAATAACTGTTCACCTAATACTCAATTTATTTGAAACTATCAAGTCTAACCTTGGTAGGGATGTAGTGAACGAGAACACAAGTGGAGACATTCGAATGTATTTGAGCACCATATTACATAATCTCTTCGTGAAATCTATGGATCACACAGTAAATTGTTCGTTTGCAAAATGTTAATCAATTGTCTCAGTTTTGATTGTTCCTTCGTTTTCACACCAATCATTCACTTTTCCTTAATCTTCTTAACTTTCTTTCATCAAACATTTCATTTTCGATCAATGATACATACTACCTGTATCTATTAACATCAATAGCTGCCCAGGACAGGATTGGATGGAGAATACTGGTCAATGGCTTATGCTCCTTGACGAGGAGTAACAGGCATAAGTAAATAAGTACATCAACAGCGCATAACCGATTGATACCGATTTAAGATTAATATACTTTATTACAACTCCGCCTGTAGTTCTTTCAGAGTTACTGCCGGTTCCAAGCCCGGGTAAAGTAGGAGGGTTGGGCATGGGGTTAGCGTTCCAATCCCGTATAAAACTAACTCGCTAAAAAAACGCTAACCAGAAAAAATAATTCAAACCATTTAAACTCTGCCCTGAAAATTAGAAGGTCTTCATGTAGAAGAATTATGACGCTTCATGGTGAATCCGAGTTCCTTCGGAAGCCACGAGGTCGGTGCCCTTCTAACAACCAGAGCAAAAATTTTTGTAGGTACATACGTGAGCGGCCTATGTTCCTTCACGAGGAGCAACAGGCGTAAGTAAGTAAGTTTACTTTATTACAAATGTATAGATTATTACTTACCAATATCTAAACTTTGTAAACGTAATTTTTTCATTTCTATTTCTTGATTACATTTGATCATATTGAAAGTCCATGATATCAGATAAAGGATCCACATAATGAATAGCAATAATAATCTTATTCAATACATATATAACAATTTATTCCTAATATATGAATAGGATATTATCTTTTTGAATATAACAAATACATTTTAATTCACTTCTGTCTGTCTGTCTGTCTCTCTATCTCTCCATCTATCTGTCTGTCTATCTACAATGTTTTGTTTTATTTTTGTTACTATGTAATAGATGGATTATGAAATCACTGATGAAATCACTCCTCGTTTCATCAACAATAAGAGTAGTAGTGTTAGTAGTAGAAGTAGTAGTAGTAGTAATATTAGTAGTATCAATTAGATGATAATTAATAATAAGATAACCTTTTAATAATAATTCATTAATGATAAACTAATACAATTTAAACAAAACTCTGATTGGTTTATTTTGAATAAAGAAACAAAACAAAAACAACAACAACAACAGCAACAAGAAAAAAAACAAAAAGAAGAAAAAAAGGAAATAACCATAGCCTATACAAAATAGAAAAGAGTCTGGAAAAGAAAATGATCAAAATAATAATTTATGTAATCATAAAGAAAATAATGAATGACAAGAAGTTGTGGTTTGTTTTTTTTTCTTGTGTGTATTTTTTCTCTACTCTTTTTTTCTCTATTTTTTTTGTTCTTTTCATTATCTCATAATATCAGTAACTATGGATGATGATGATGATGATGATAATGAAGGGGGGTCAATGATTCTTTCAACTGGAAAATTCATTATTTATTAATTAATTTGATTACATTTTACAGGTAATATGATACAAGTCAATGATTTGCTTTAGCCTACTGTTTATTATTATTATTATAGTAAAACAAAATAGAATGAATAACAATGAAGAAATGATGTTCACAATTGAATGAATTAAAAAAGAAACATTTTATGATTAGAAAATTAAGGTTATTGATATATTGTATTTGTCAGTTATAATAATAAGTAGCTATCTGTCAATGAATATCAAAGTGAGAAACTTCATTATGAACATGAAGAGAGTTAGTTCTATTGTATGGAGCTGAAACTTTGAGAACTACCATCACAACTATCATCAAGAAGATACAAGTATTTATAAACAAGTGCCTACGTAAGATATTGAATGTCTGTTAGCCAGATACCATGGGGAACAGACTATTATAAGAGAGGATAAATCAGATTCCAGCTGAAGAAGGAATTAGAAAAAAAACGTTGAAAATGGATAAGACATACATTGAGGAAATGACCAAATTACATCAAAAGATAAACACTGACTTGAAATTCTGAAGTGGAACGAAAAAGCGAAAGATCAAACAACACACGACGTCGAGAATTAAAAGCAAACATGAAAAGGATGAATAGAAACTGGAACCAACCGGAAAGGATTACTAGTATAGGGGTTGTGGATATTATCAAGTTTTTGATTGAGATCATAAACCGATTGATGTTAGACCACCTTTGTAAACCTGGAAGCACTGGACGACCGTTTCGCGAGACCGAAGGCCCTGGGTTCGAATCATGCGAGCGGGATTGTGGATGCGCACTGCTGAGGAGTCCCACAGTAGGACGAAACGGAATGGATTACCCAGAATAGAGTTAGATGATGAATGCTGGTGAGCGGCCCATGCTTCTCCATGAGGTGTAACAGGTGCAAGTAAGTAAGTAAGAAAGATTTGATATCACAATTTTCAGTTATAAAATTGAACATGAAATATATTAAGAATAAGGAGTAAATACATTTATCTCTTTGTTTGTGAATATGTATTGTACCTTTGAAATAGATGAAATGAATTAGACGTCATGTTTAACTGTTAACAAAGTATGCTGATTATTTTCTAGTGAAATGCCTCCAGAGGCCCAAAAGGAGCCGAAGGGTCCTAGCCAATCAGAGTATAATGGAACGTTCGAGAATTCCAGCGTGGCGTGCTATCATTGGTCGGTAGCATAATATAACGTTAACGGATTGGCTGAAATCTGATGTTGATTTAACAGACGCCAACATCTATAAGTACCCTTGATTTTCTGTATTAAAATGAACCTTGGAATAAAGTGTTTTCTCTCATACTTGTGTCTTCTCACTGGAGTTCAAGTCACTGTGTAGTTCTAGTCTACGGGTTACGGGAATAGCTTAGGAATCGTATATAGCGTTCAACCTACACGACTTATCAATTACATTTGTTAGTACAAATTTTCCTATCAATTTCAATTCCTTGGCTGTTACACCGATTTACACTGTATAATTAAAATAACTCAATGTGTCATTCAGTAAATTCACTTGGTATTGTTTGCTTGTTTGAATCTGATGTTTAAATTGATTTTCAGAACTGTAATTGGTCAGTCTCTTACTGATATATGTGCATCCTGTGTGTATTTCTTCGATATTGCCATAATTCCCAAGCATTATAAACAAAGATGGATAGTGGCTAGCAGTGGAATCCAGTTTGACGCGCTTTTCATTCTATTTGGAACTCGTCAGCTAGTTGATATTCACTCTGGGACTTGAATTCAGTACCATTCACTTCAAATGCTATCGCGTTATCTACTTAGCTATTGAGTCCTGATAGTCAGTTATTTATGTAATGGGATCAAGTTTGAATTCACTTGCTATTGTTTGTCTTTTTGAATCTTCAGCAAAGAATATTTTCTCGTTTCAACGAAATCATTTATTTAAGTTCTACATCCCCACTTATAGTTATATAGGGCAGATTACATTGGTCGTAAAAAGTGATCACTTACCAAACACGTCTCAGAACAGTACCTGGACATATTGCTCCATCAGAGTCTTCTTTCAAAAGAATGCAGTGACCTACTTTCATCAAGAGAACGAGATTGATTTAATGGAAACAATTATTATTATAACGAATTGTACCAGTGGTTGTTTTACTGTACTTGTTTGTTTGACTGTACAAAAGACATTCATTCTACTGTTGATTGTGACCTCACACGAACTTACGTTTACTCAGTAGTTCCTCTTGTACTCCTTTGGCATGATTTCGGTATTATTTCGATACCACAAGATCGCCAACACATAAATCTCGACTACAGCCATCAACTGCCTTCTGATATTTGGCCTACTGGGGATCTTATCGATTAACTGGCACGTAGTTTTCCTGTAGCGGTGATCATAGTCAACCGCGACTCGACGCCACACTACAAGAAAATAATCTACACAGTCAGAGGAATTGAATCGAAATGAAAGCTGAATCAAAATCTTATACAGTGATTGCTGGGATATTGGCAATTCACCAATTTTGTTTTTACTTTTTTATTTTAATTAATATTTTGTCATTTTTAACTGTAATCAGTTAGTGTTGTTGCCCTTTAAACAAGTTTACTTGATTAATATCCACTATTACTATTATTACGACTACCTCCAACCACCATCTAATCTCAATATATAGTGCACGCAGTGTCAAGTCAGTTAGACTAATGGCTACATTGCAAATTGGTCGATAGGATTTGATCTGCACTAAATAAGGACTTGACACACATGACATTGATCATCACTCAGTGATCAATCAATTATGATTACATCTCAGTCCTACAGGAGGTCGGTCGTGACTCAGATAGCTCAATGGTAACATCTCTGACTGTGAAGCTGGGTGACACGGGACCGAATCAGTCAGGGAGCACCAGTTCTCTCAAGATTACAGGGACACCTTGCTGACGAGTGCCAAGTAGCACGAAACCCAGGTCCAGGGTTTCATGTCGACTGCCTCCAACCACCATCTAATCTCGATATATAGTGCCCGCAATGTCGAGTCATCTAGGCTGGTGGCCATATTGCAACATGATCGATAGCATTCGACCTGCACTAAATAAGTACTTGAAAAGCACGACATTGATCATCACTCAGTGATCAATCAGTTGTTATTATGACCTTCATTTTTGTTGTTTTTCTTCAACTCTGTCAAGTGAACAATTATCTTCCATAATTCAGACTCGTAAATCATTTTCATTCTTGTATACTTCTCTTACATTTTGATTATTGCATAACCTCATCTCATAATTAAGGGTTTCGGATCAATTTGTGATGCAATCTTTTCTATTCTTCTATAGACATATATTTAATGTCAGAGGAGGGATTTTGTGAAGATTTTAGTAATTTAATAATGAAATTCAAGAGTCAATTAAAACTAGATCACTGCTGAGTAAACCTATACTAGGATGAAACGGGCCGTCCAATACTTCCATGTTTTCCATGGTCGTTCTAGCTTTAATTGATTCATGAATTAAACACATAGATTTTGCACAATAAATATAAATACAAATGTACCGCTTAAGTAAATAATTTCAACATGAAGATGCTATGCCCTGATAAGACTAATCGATGGTAATTTCTGGGATCCCTTTGTGGACCAATACTATGCGTATATTTTTACCGTATAATTGTTAATTAACTAGCCTATTCATATTCATATCTCTCTTATTATAAGCTTTATTCTGAATTATAAACTATTATTATACATTTTACCATTCTTGAGTTATACCCAGTATATTAGTTATTAGCTCCCTCATCCACAGCCACATCTGACTAATTCTTGTACAAATGTTGTTTCATATTTTATTGGTACGTTGGGGTCTGCTTGGTTGGTATATAAACAGAGTATGTTTGAAGTAAATGATTCATATTACAAAGGCTGAAATTGGCGTTCTGGACTTAACTGGCTGGACTAGGCGGAAAGCAGGGCCAATCAAGACTGCTCGCACGTGTTTTACGCGTTGATAATTCTCTGCTTGTGATTGGCGACTTGGGACTATAACAGAAGAGGATTTTCCTCGATGAATTCTCTTTATTCATTCACCTTCTATCCGCAAATATAATCATATCAAATATAGTGAAAATTATTGTTGGATTCAATAGATTATCATTAATAACAAAATATAGTGTTATTAATGCATCATTAATGTACTGAATTTGTTGTTTGCAATATGACGTAATAACTTAGACAGTTTTCAGTATAGGGTTGTAGAGATTATTAAGTTATTGATT